AATTCCCGAATTTGAAAAGAATAGAAGGACTAAATTCCAAAAAAAACTGACCTTCCACCCAGAGCAACTGCCATCTGATTTTCCAAATAGCTCCGACTGTACAAACCCGACTCGAGCCTCTCTTCACTTGGGGCAAAGAAAGTGAGCCCGCCAGCCTGGCCACGGGGAATAATGGAAATCTTGGCAACCGGATCATACTCCGGCATCAGGGCACCAACCAAAGCATGCCCAGCCTCTACAAGAGAACAAAAAAAAAAAAATAACAATAATTAATAACAAATATGGACCAGTTTATAATTTGATATGCACTTTGTTTTTTTCTGTTTTTGTACCGTGATAGGCCACAAGTCTCTTCTTTTCATCAGAGACAACAGCATTTTTCTTCTCAGGCCCCGCGATTATTCTTTCGAGGGCATCAGATATCTCGTCCTTGCTTATCTCCTTGAGATCACGCCTTGCCGCCAGGATGGCAGCCTCGTTCATGAGGTTTTGCAGATCGGCCCCCGTGAAGCCAGGTGTCCTCCTCGCAATTTTCTCGAAATCAACGTCCTTGGCCAGGGCCTTCCCTCTTGAGTGCACCTACAATCTCAAAATATCTCGGTTATGTCAAGTCCAACTAATAACTCCAGTAACTACCAAAGAGTAATGCAGCAGAAGTGTATCGACATAGGGAGTGCAACCACCTAAATGCAAGAAATCAACTAAGTTTAGGTCAAGACAGCACAGGATTCTACCGAATATAAAGTCCGGTAAAATAGAAATACTAACCATAGCAGATAATCAACCACCCTAAGTTAAGAATGCATATGGATAGGAGGAATTGGATTAGAAGGGACGACTTGGGGAGGGTGGGATGATCAAAGTAAGCCCTGATTCAGTGTTAGAATAATATCTACGCAAACAAAACAGATTCATAGCTATGAAATTATTCAGAAGTCCTCAACTTCATTTTTGTCAACCCAAATGAAGCTTATAGTTCTGCAAACAATCTGCACTTTCTACAGATCCCATCACACTCCACAATTTCTAAGCTGACAAATAGTTTACCATATTCATCGAACTAGCTCCTGCCTAAATCCATATAACCCTGCGCACCAATTGTTCATTCTTAACCAAGCAATCACACCACAACTTCCAAATCAGTTCAACAAAAACTACAATATCAGAAAACTAAAAAAGAACTCACTAACCTGAAGAATCCTGACTCTCCCTGCAACATCTGGCCGATCAACAGTGACCTGCCGATCAAACCTCCCGGGCCTCAACAAAGCCGAATCAAGCACATCGGGCCTGTTAGTAGCCGCCAGCACTATAACACCAGAGTTACCAGAAAACCCATCCATTTCGGTCAAGAGCTGATTAATTGTCTGCTCTCTCTCATCATTCCCACCACCAAGCCCAGCCCCTCTCTGCCTCCCAACAGCATCAATCTCGTCAATGAACACAATGCACGGAGCTTTTGATTTAGCCTTCTCGAATAAATCCCTCACTCTAGAAGCCCCCACACCCACAAAAAGCTCAACAAACTCCGATGCCGCACAGGAGAAAAAGGGCACGCCTGCCTCTCCTGCCACAGCCCGGGCCAAGAGGGTCTTCCCGGTCCCTGGTGGGCCCACCAAGAGACAGCCCTTGGGAATTTTCGCCCCTAAGGCAGTGTATTTATCCGGGTTTTTCAAGAAATCAACTACTTCCTGCAGCTCGAGCTTTGCCTGGTCGGCTCCCGCCACGTCAGCAAACGTCACGCCAGTCTCTGGGACCTCCTGGAACTTGGACTTAGACCGGCCGAAGTCCATTGGGCCACCGAGACCGCCGGGACCTCCAGGCCCTCCCTGAGCCCGACGGAACAAGAAGAAGAGCCCAGCAAAGGCAAGGAAGGGGAAGATTAGATTCCCGATGAAACTAAACAGCCCGTTTCCAGATTCGCCCTCGGAGACGGATATATCTACGCCGTTCATGGCCAATATGTCGATCAGGTCCGGGTCATTGGGCACGATCACCGTGGCCCGGCGGCCGTCGACGGCTGTGAGCTGAAGGGCACTTCCATCTTTACTGAACCTAACCCTCTCAACCTTCCCCTTCTTCACCGCGTTCAGGAACTCGCTGTATCGCCACTGGGAGCCTTCGGGGAGATCGGAAGCGGGCTGAGCCTGGGGCTTCGGCGCATTCAAGATCAGGTTTTGGCCGAAGGGTGACAACGGGCCGGGCTTTTGGGCCTCGATTTCGACAACCTGTGGAGCGGGGGCTGGTGGCGGCGGGGAACCATCCAGCGCCAGTGCGTGTGGAGTGACTGAAGAGAACAGTAAAGCGGCGAGAGCTGCACGATTGGTTAGATTGTTCGAAATTTTGGAGCTTTTATCATCAAGAAGTGATTTTGGGATGACGAATCTTCTTGGGACTGTTTTGGGAGTTGGAGAAGATGTGAAGACTCGGGTGCCCAAGAAATTGGAGGAAAATAAGGGGTTTGTTATGGTGGAAGCCATTATTGAATTCTTCGTTGTTGCCTGTAGTGATTGCTTGAAGTTTATAAGAGCCCGAGCTGGAAAAGTTGAATTTGGGTTAGAATTTTAGGAAGAATGAAAGGAGGCCATAGATTTGGTTTGTTGCAGGATTGGTTCTACGTGTGTGGAGTATTATCCAGTCATGGTTAGTCTGATATTTTGGGGTTTAGAAATGAGTCTGAGTCAAGTCGAGTCGAACAGAGAGTGCGGACAAAATGGTGTGGAGATAGTTCTTTCTACATGAGACATCTCAAATCCAACTCTACTATAAACCTAGAACTTTTCTCTTTATCTTTTCAGAATTTACTCTCAAGACTTTTAGGGCATGCTTGTTTATGGATTTTTTCAATCCAATTTTTTCAACTCAAATATTTAACTCAACTTTAACTCAATCCCACTATCTTTAATATTATTTATATAATTAAATAATAAAAATCAATCATTCTTACACATCACATCAACTTTAATTCACTATTCATCCACTCACATAATTTTAACTACCAATCATTTCCAATCATTTATCTTCTACTTTATATCAAATCAACTTTAATCATTTTTATTTTAAATATTATTTTATTATATTTTTTAAATTCCACTAACAATTAACCACATTACTTTTTCAACTTTAACTATAGTTAACAAAATGAAATATTTTGGTTGAAAAAACCCATAAACAAGCTCCCCCTTAGTTAAGGCTATCAAAATTTAGAGCATGTATGGATATGCAAATTTTTTATTTTGTTTGATTTTTTGGTTTTTTTGAAAAAAAATAGTATAGTTAGTTGTTAGTGGATATATGAAAATAATATTTAAAATAAAATAATTAAAATTGATTTGATGTAAAAGTAGGAGATAGAATGATTTAAAATAAAATGATTTGAAGTGATGGTTAGTTAAAATAATGTGAGTGAATGGATAGTGAATTAATTATTAATTAGCATTATTGAATTATATTGATAATATTGATGACATTGGAGTTGGGTTAAAGGTGAGTTAAAAAAAATAGCTGAGTTAAAATGTTGACTTTTTTTTTTTTTGAGATTTCTTGTAAAATTTAAATACTAACTATAGAAACAAAATTTAAAATTATTAAACAATCGAAATATTTTTATTGATGTAAAATAAAAATCAATCAAATAGAAGCAAAAAATTATAGTGCGGTGAATTGTATCTCGTTACATGTAGCGCAATATTGTTGTTCACATGTTCAGATAGTGCGAAAATGTAAGCATAATTGAAACAAGTTTTCACAATAATCTAAAGTAGAGTAGCAAATTTTTAGCACACTCTAAACTAAAGTAGCGTTGGGACGAAGGGTTGCTTAGTTATAACCGGTCAGTTCACCTTGGCAAGAAGATTTGAACTACTTTCTCTCACCTCAATTACATCGCCCCTCATCTTCAAAAGAAGGAAGCTCTTCGGAACAAGGCAGCGTTAATACTCGATCACTATATAAGAGATTTTACCGGGGAATAGGACACTTCCAATAAGAAAAGAAGACTTCATGTCCTACGCCGGGGCATGCGAATAAAGAAAATGGCCAGAAGAGAGCCTAGCCTAGACCGATCAAAAGATCCGGCCTCTATCCCTAGTGGATTGCTTCCTTCTCTTCGCATCCCCCCCTCTCACTAGCGCAAGACTAGAGAAACTCTTACTATTATTGTCATTTATATGTTGAGTAAATAGGGTCATATTTGTAAGTTTAAAAATATGATTGTTTATGCTAGGCTAGAGATGCAAAGGCATTGTACATGTTCGCGATTGAATGTAAACGAGCCTTTTTTAAGTCGATGTTCGCGAATGAATGTAAACGAGCCTTTGTTAAGTCGACCCAAATTGAACCTCGCAATTGAACATGACTCATTTATATCAATTTGATTTGGACCACATTCAGCCAATGATTACGTGTTATACAATATTAGTTTGGAGCCAGAACTATATGTTGGAGAGTAATGCTATATGTACATAATATTGTACATAGGGGTGTACATAACACTCATATTGAGTGGAACCCACCCAAAATTAAAAATTAAATGAGCCCCACTACATGTGAGTGTTATGTACAACTCTATGTACATTTATTATCTACACATTACATTACTCTATGTTGGAACATCTTTATATACAAAAAACTTTAATCTGAGTTGATTTATAAGAAGTGATAAAGATTACATGCAAGTGCAACTATAAATTAAACTATTTTCTGATACAATTTCCTAAAAGTGTTTCAAAATGAACCGAACTACAGCTTAAGTCCAGACAAGACATGGCCAAAACTGGCCCGGCCCAGACCAGCGGGCCGGCGGGCTTGATTTCAAGCACCCTGAACAGGCACGGCGTCCGTGCCGGGTCTGGCTTGTCCAAATAAAGAAAAAAGAAAAAAATTGAAAACCATTTATTTCCGTGCTGTACCGGACCCGGCCCGGCCTGCCGGGCTAGGGTTGAAAAACAAGACCCTAGATCAGCCCGGTTGAAATCCGAGCCGGGCCCGGACCCGTACATTCCCCACTCAAAAGTACAGGCTTTTTCTTTTCTTTTTCAAATTTTCGTGTGTTAACCCGGCGACTATGGCAGTAAGGATCTACTCCCCATTAGGGTTGTAAACGAATCGAATCAAAGCGAATACCCAGAGATTCGATTCGATTCGTTTAAAATATTCGAAGATTCGATTCGTGATTCGATTCGATAACGAATTCATTTTTTGATTCGTATTCGATTCGTTTAGAATATTCGAACATATTCGATTCGATTCGAAATTCGTTTTCAAAAAAATATTATAATTAAAAAATATTATAATTACAAAAATAAATTTTATTTTTCATATATTTTTAGAAAATTTTGTCAATTTATGATGTTTTTACTTTTTATGTCGTAAACATATTAGGAATATAACAATATATATACATATATTATAAACAAAATGTATATTATATATAATTTATATAAAAATATTATAATTACAAAAATAAATTTTATTTTTCATATATTTTTAGAAAAATTTGTTAATTTATGATGTTTTTACTTTTTATGTCATAAAAATATTAGGAATATAACAATATATATACATATATTATAAACAAAATGTATATTATGTATAATTTGTAAAATTTATATAATTATTGTTAACGAATCGAATATTCGAATTTCGAATCGAATATCTACACATTCGAATCGAATTCGTTATAATTTCAAATCTAAAACATCATTCGAATTCGAATTCGAATTCGAATATTTCGAATTCGAATCACGAATATCGAATTCGAATCACGAATCGAATCAAAAATGTTTGATTTGTTTACAACCCTACTCCCCATGGATAAGAACACGAAAAATAACCAAGTAGGAAAAAACAAACAGCAATTACAACAAACACAGCATTGATCAATTGTCCCGAGATGACTTTCAGCTTCAGTCATTTTATTGTACAAAACAAAGGAGATTTCAAATATGGCCAATTCATAACAAGAGTTGAACAAACATAACATAGTAGCTCATGCTGCCTCTAGCATTGCACCAAAATCTGGAAAATAGAGCACACTCAATAAAAAATCAGACGTGACGCAAATATTAAAACACAAAAATAATAATATAACACCAAAATTTGCTACAATTTTCAGCCACACAAGATCTAAATGTATGACAGAGTATCTATTCACCATCAACGGTATTTAACAAAACTTGCAAAAGATAAAACGAGCAACGAATAGGAACCACTTCATAACCCAAGGTCTCATGCGTTTAACAAATCCAATAGAACTTTACAAATTGACAATTCCCATAAAGTTGCGTGAAGATACATATGTATGAGTGATTCACTGTATGATGTTCCACTATAATTCTTCTCTTGAAAGACAAAATTTTACCCTTTGCAATAGTGGTAGTCTATCGGGAAAATTTTCATGACCCACATATTATGTTACACATTCATAAGGTCACACATATGTAACAGAACAATAAGGACTACAAAGAAGAAGTTACCTAATGATGATCGTCATGGCCTTCCCAAGGATGCCTCCAGCCCTAGAAGCAAAGAAACAAAACTCAGAAAAGCTTACACGAATGCTACTTCGAGGTACAACATCAATGTGAAACAGAATTAATTTGGCACAACAGTCATGCTAAAAAAATCACAACTCACCAGCACCACCGGACCATCCTGCTTTGCCCTGTAGAAAACCCAAAACCTGGAAAATATAATACAAGTTTCAGTGCGTAACAGAAAAGGCAAGTTTATGGTCCTGTGAAGAACTTCAGACATGTAAAGCATGAGCTGAATTAAGAGATGTACAAAAGCAACCCATTGAAAGACAACATTCTTCAATAAAAATACATCATGAGAATGCCATCATAAACAATGTGGAGTATCAAGAGCATTGATCAGTAACATCTTGCAAGCACTAAATTCCTTAGCCATTTTCTTCTATGTTGAATCCAGAATCAACCCAAAAGGTTTACAACAGTACCGATAAAAAAACAGAGTCGAGACTGACTGGGTTGAATTCGGTTGAAAAGTAGCACCCAACACAGAAATAAATCATCTTCCCATACTCCAAAAAAGGAAAAAACAAATCCAGCCTAAATTTAACAAATGAATTCATCAAAAAGTCCCCCACAATGACATCCGATGAGACTCTATCGTATATACTTCCAATTAGGCAGGCCGACGACCCACAAAGTATTGTCCACATAAACCCATCTTCTCTTTTCTTCACGAAATCATTCAGAATATCGACAATGCCTTCGAAAAAAATATCTCCCTATACTTTTAACGTGATTATACCATAATTCAGCTGGAATATGATATTTCTTAATACGAATTCATCAGCTCTAAAAAATGAATCACTCTGAACAAACAACTTGGACACCACATTCCAAGAAAACTAAAGCTGGACGCAGTTTCAGTTCACGATGAGCGAAGATCTAACACGCCTTTCACTAGCAGCAAAACCATTTGATGATAAGATCGAAAAAATTAACGAAAACACAATCGGAACTAGAATCAGTTTCGCTCCACGATACACACGGATCTAAAACGATAATCTACGATGAAGATTCAAACTTCTACTATGTGCCCTCATACGTAAGCATTTCTTACCACATGACGGCGCAGAGGCCTTTGCCCGTGACGGTGTGCCAGCGCTTTGGCTTGTGCAGAGTCACGCCTTTGTACGTTATGCCTTCACCGTGGCCACCGCCCATTCTTCTTTTCCTGCCTTTTTTTCTCCGAAATTGACGATTGCAAGGTTGAATTTCCTACTGTTACACTGACGAAAAGCTCTGCGATTTGGGGGAAATGAAAATGGAGATCCGAATTTTCTTTAGCGACTCCTCAAGATTAGGGTTATATCAAAATGCACCCCTCAGCTATTGGTTATTTAGTTGCGATCCAAATATTTTGTTAAATTCTCCATGTAAATGATAAGTCTACCTTTGTAGTAAGACGTAGTCACGGATCACCCAACCCGGACCAGGCTCAGAACCGGCACGAACTCGGCCCGATTAGACCCATTGGCCACGGGTTCAAGGACATATGTTGTGACATATGACTCGATGGGTCCGGCCGACCTAGGAAATCAACGATTTATTTTTTTTTTTTTTTCGGGACAAGTCGTGAATCCAAGTCTTGCACCAGGTCCGTGCCTAGGAACGGGCAGGTTCAGGTACGGTGATTTTGAGCCCGGCGACCCCGGGCCCGGCCTGGAATTTGGCAATGTCTACTTGTAGTTACCACTGTCAAAATGAGCAACGGGCCGTGTTTGGCCCATTTTATACTGCTAGGTAATTGAGTTACTGTTGGTTTGGAGGCACTTTTATAAAAATAGGCTTTCACAAAATGAACATTTTAAAATATTTTTGATTTTCGCTAAGATTTGTCAATTTTAATGAAATCCTTATATATCTTAAGTATGAAAATGAGAATTGGTGGTGGGATTTGACATATGTACTTTGTGTTTAAAGTCTAGACCACTCTTAAAGTTTTACCGAATCTCAATGTATAAGTTACAAATATCTCATGACTTTTTAATTTTTTATTGAAATTTCAGTTGAATAATTCAAGACTTTTATAAATCTTAAAAAGTTTAAGGGGTGTATTCATTAGTTTTTTTTAAAGATTTTTGATAATTTAAAATTATGTGTATTTAATATGACAACCCTGAGGTATTGATAAATGATTTCAAAACATTTTAAAAAGTCATGATATTCAATTTATTAGGGTGTGATTGTATATAAATTCAATAGTATAAAGTCCAATCAAAATTTAAATTTAACTAAACTTTAACTCTACCCCACTATCTTCAATATTAATAATATAATTAAATAATATCAACTAATCATTCTTACACATTACATCAACTTTAATTCACTATTCATCCACTCACATAATTCTAACTAATTATCACTTCTAATCATTTTTTTCCTACTTTACATCAAATCAACTTTAATTATTTTATTTAAATATTATTTTAATATATCCACTAACAACTAACCACACCACCTTTTTTTTTCAAAATTAGCTATAGTTAAAAATACCAAATAAAAACTAGTTTTTTTACTACTGAAACTATAAACAATCACCACCTTAATCACTCGGATTTGTCTTACTTTTATAAGACTTACTAAGATTCCATAAACAAAAATCATATGCAAAATTCATCCTAAATCCCACCTCGAAATATAAGATTTCACAGGATTCTTCTTAAATATCAAATTCTAAAAGTCTTATTTTTATTTTTATTTTTTAAAAGCAATAAAAATGTCACTTAAATTCTAACGAATACACTTTTCTAAGTTAAATACATTAAGATTTTTAAAAACTTACTTTTACTTTTATACCTAACCCATAATTTTATGGTGGTCATAAATTGATCCCATAATCTTTGTATAAACAACTAGATAGGCCTATCAATTATACAATCACATTTTTTCAATATATATGCATATTTTAAAATTGACATATCATGAAAACAATATATAAAAAATATGATATTTTATAATATCAATATACATTTTGTTAAAAAGTGTGACAAAACAGTCGTTTTAACCGTCTCATACAACTATTTGTGTTGTGTAATTGCCAAGTAGATAATTTTTTTTCTTTACAAAAAAAAAAAA